TTTAGCTCAATATCTTATTTTAATATCAAAATTCTAAGAAAATAGTCAGAATTCATGGGAATATATATATATATATATATATATATATATATATAGTGTATTTCCCCCGATTTGAGCAGTAGCAACAACCGCATACACGGCACAGATTATAGGCATTTTGACACTGAATCAACAAAAGGAAACGAGGATGCATTTACTTCCTGCCCCCGTCTGCATTTTGTGACATCATCAGCAACCTAGCAATTGGTTCTAAATATATTATTATTTTACTTTGATATACTGTGACTAATAATGAAAAATAAAAGAAAATAAGAGTTAATGCAATAAAGTTTTAATTTACCCTGAAAAATAAGCACAGACTAAACCAGCACTGTAAGGGTGTGCAGCAAAATGATAGGGATAGAGCTGCCCCAGCTCTACAGAACCAGAGTCACCAGGAAGGCTACAGCTTTTCTTGCTGACCCAACTCACCCTCTCCTTCGCCTTTACAGGTTGTTGCCCTCTACTTGTAGATACATGGCGGTGAAATGTAACACAAAAAGGTATGAATGTTCATTTATCCCCATTAGAGTCAACCTCATTAATAATTTGAGATGAGCCCAAGTAAACTGTGGTGGTATATTATTGTAATGTGTGTGCTATATGGATGGTTTCTGGTTTGTTTTTTGTTTTTTTGTCTGCAGAGCAAATTGCCCCTTAGGGACCGTGAAGTTAATCTAATCTATATTATATTATTATATAAAGTTTATTCATTTAAAACAAAACAACATAAATTGAACATACAACAAAAAAACAAATCAAATTAAATGAAAGGTAGCAGAAGAAGATAAAAATCTTATGATTTCTGCCCCTTTTTCTTAAATTCAATCAAAAAAATCTTCAATTTACAACGTACAAAAAAAGAAAAAACGATAAAGTTTAATTCCTTCTTGAGTAACAATTCATGCCTTATACTCATACATATTTGTCCAACATTTACCTTTATCATTTTCTTAAATATACACATTGATCTGGCTTTTTTTATCTAGTCTGATTTAGAATTAAAAACACGTCCTCTTCACAGCAGTTGGAACTTTTTCAATAATTGTTCAATATATTGGGGTTTAATCTGACAAAGGTCTAGCTGTGGTTTCTCTATGAAAAAGGAGATTGTAAAATGGGTGGAGCGTTGTTCTGAGAAGAGAACAAGAGCAAAGGGTTAGCGGGCCACAGATGGACCAGAGGGGGATGACCAGCCGGGTTTCGTTTTCACACAGCGTTCTAATGAGAACCTGCTGAGGGGGACTTTAAGTGCACACCTAGGATCAGTTTACGTCTTTCTATAACCTCTGACCTTAACTGTCTGTGAAACTGTATTGGTTACAGAGTCAGAGAAAAAAAGCCATGAGAACATATTGACTCAATGTTGCTGTCCACTTTTAAGTTGTTAAAATCAGCAAAATGTGGCAAAATAATTTACAGCTGTGATGAGGAACACCAAAACAATCGTAGCTTCATATAAAAGTACATCAGAAGTTCAAAGGGCTGCTTTAGTCTTTAAATGTTGGTGAAAGTCCTTCTACAGAAAGAGAATCAAAATTTTTAAGTGCATTGCTGCGTTGAATGACTGGACTTGTTTTGAACAAGAGATTTGAATGAGCTTTTAGTGCTCAATGTGAGATGATTCTCAGCTTCAACCACCCCATATTTAGCTCAATATCTTATTTTAATATCAAAATTCTAAGAAAATAGTCAGAATTCATGGGAATATATATATATTTCTTAATCATGCTATTATTTACACATTACTATTTGCAGAAGGCAACCATTTTTAAATTCAGACTTTAAACCTAACTCAAAGATTGCACTTAATCATACGTACGTGACTATTTAGTCATTTAAGGTTGTGGGGGAACTCTAAACGGGACAAATGTTTGGACTGGAGCGGGAATTTGACATGAAACCTATTCTTTGATGTGATGAGTAAGGACCGGGGTATTTGGAAACCCTGTAAATTACGCTCGGAAATTAGAGAGTTTGTAATTGTCTGGTACGTCTTGCGTTATTGTATGTTTTTCAGTTTAAAGCCATAACGCCAAATTTTGGAACTGGTAAAACCAAATTTACTCTGAATTCAGATTTTTATTAAAGCGCATACAAATAAAAAAAATACTACATGTTACAAATGGAATATAACAACAGTAGAAGAAGTAGAGTTCAAATTTACGATGGACTTGAAGGCAGCATATACTTGACAGCTTGAGAGCCAAAACACAATCCGCGAACATGTTTTTTTATCGTGCTAGTGTTAATAGCTGGTTATAAATTTGTGCCAACAGCCTGGCAAACCTTCTTTACCAACGGGGCTGGACCGATAATAAATTTTAAAAATGGCAGGGCTACGTTTTGACGACGCTCAAAAAAAAAAAAAAAAAAAGTCCACGGGGAAGTTCCCCAGGAAATCCCCGTTCGGGGATATTATTCTCGACACTGATGCGCCAAATCTCCGACAGAAATTCACCTTCTCAGTTGTGTTTCTAAAAGACCCGAGGTAAGAAGCAGACGCGTCAAATGCCGGATTTTTAAACGACCGAACAGTACTGTCAAAAAAAAAGAAAAAAAAAAAGCCTGCGATGGATGAGTCGAGCAGCGTGAGCGCGGAGAGGAGCCGCAGCTACAGCGTGCTGAACACTCTGTACCACGAGACGCGGCAGGAAATCGAGCTCCTCGGCAAACAGATCTGCGTGAAGGACAACATCATCGCGGATTTAAAAAGCAGGCTGGGGAGGTACGAGACGATCTACATGGCGGTGGGGGAGAAGGAGCCGGTGGGCTTCGGTCCGTCCAACTCTTTGGTGGAGAGCTTACTCAAAGAGATGTGCAAACTGAAACAGAGGAGGAACGATGTGGAGTTCAAGGCAGCTCGACAGGCAGAGGTGAAACATGATGTGATGTCAACAAGCCAACTAAACTTCATCTCTTTTTCCCTTTTTTTCTTAGAAAACAATAACATTATTTTATTAGTAGTCTTTGACACCCTGCTGTATTTCAGTATTATATGTAAACCTTTATTTTCACCAGGCAAAACATTAAGAACAATTTCTTATTTGCAATGTAAGCCTGAAAAATATCTGTGCATCAACCATTTTCATCAGCACTTTACTGGTAGACGTATAAATGCATACAGGAACAAATATTTGCTTGCAGAAATTTTTAACAGAACCATGTCCTGATGTCCACTCCCCCATTTATCTCCTCAAAACCAGGAGATCCAGAGGCTGAACGTGCAGCTCAGGGAGAAGGAGCTGGAGCTGGAGAGCGTCAGGTGTCGGCCGGACCACGAGAAGGACCAGGAGCTCCACAGGCTGCGCTCGGCCCTGGAGGAGAAGGAGCGGGCCGAGGCCACCAGGACCGTGCTGTGCACCTCGCTGGCCGAGGAGGCCGAGCAGCTGCGCGCTCAGCTCGGCGCCACGGTCAAGGTGTGCCAGGAGCTGCTGGCCAGGCTGGAGAAGGAGAAGAAGGGAGGTGGAGAGGTGGAGGAAACGGGCCAGCAGCAGAAAGCGAAGGAGGTGGGTAATGACGCCGTGTTTACTGTTTGTTCTGGTTCACCCCCTTCGTTTGGGTCGGATAAAGACTTGTTTTTTAACACTCCACAGACATCAGAGTCGTCTGACCTGTGTGCTGTCAAAGCCCAAATCCATCAGCTTCAACAGGAGAACCAGCAGCTAAAGCAGCGCGTGGCTTATGTAAGTCTGTTTAGATTTGCCCTGTAGAGTTCCTTTTTGTTTTAAACAGAAAAACTAAATCAAACACTTAATGTTAACAGTCTTTGTTGGGGTGGGGGGTTGTTAGGTGCAGGGTTTGAACACTCAGTGGCAGAAGTACGACTCTAGCAGGGAGGACTACATCCGAGGTTTGTGTCAGAGGCTGAAGGAGAGCACCGGGCAGGGCTTGATGCCCGCCGTGGGCTCGGTCAGCGCGGGGCTGCTCCAGCAGGAGATCTCCAGACTCAACTCCTTACTGGAGGAGAAGATGAAGGAGTGCGCCAGGCTGGATCAAGAAGCCGAGGAGATAAGGAGACAAAGCAAGGAGCGAATTCAGACCCTGGAGCAGCAGGTTGGTTTGACATTAACGTCTTTCTTTGTTATAGTTTATTTCTCTGCAGACATGAAAACAAAGATTAAAAGCTGTTGAACGTTTTCTTTTTCTTAAGGCCCTGATTTACACAGACGACTTCAAGTCAGAGCGTGCCGACAGGGAAAACGCTCAGGGTCAGATCGAAGACCTGAAAGAGCAGATCTCCCAGCTGAAGCAGCAGCTACGCAAACAGGTGAGGCGACGGCCTCGCGGCCTCGCTCTTGAACGTGTTGATCGTGTTGCGCGAGCTTGACGTGCTGTTTGTGAATCCCCGCAGGGAGCGAGCAGAGACRTGTGCCGTGTGCACATAGGACACAGGATGTCCTCGAGGCGGAACAAGGACTCCTCAGAGCCTGTGTTAAGGACTGCTCCGGAGAGGCAGCAGCACCAGCAGCAGCAGCAGCCTGCGCTGACAAACTGGAACGAACTCTCGGGCATGTCGGAGATCCAGTGTCCGCAGTGCTCCGCCAGGTTCAACGACACGAACGCAGAGTGCATAAACCATTTGGAGGAGTGTGGCCGTCCCTAAACTGAACGTTCTCTAAGGCCGTACCTGGCCGAGCTCTGACTTGTCGGAGTTCAGTTAGACCTCAAAGGAAAACTGCGGGATTTTAGTCGCCAGCAGCTGTGTGAGGTACCAGCTTTACCAAACACTGAAGACCCCCAGCACTACAACGCAGGACAAGAACCTGGCTGGAGATGCAGCTCTTTGATTTCAACCCGCTGACATGAGAGGCTGTCTTWGTTTTCTTTTACAACCCCCCCAATTTTCCCCTCTTGCAAGAGGAAATGAGGTCATTTAGGCTTGAGTCGGCCACGAACACCTGGTGAGAGTTCTGCTGCTCTGCTGGAGCTCAGTGTGTCGAAGGGGGAGGAAATCACAGTGGAATATTTAAAATTTTATACATACCTCAGTGTCAAATTTACAAACTCATTGCACTTTCTTGTCATTTAGCCCCAAATGTATCATAATGTTGTACAATTAAGAGAAAAATGATGGATAAGCTTTGTACTTTGGGTCTTTAGTTGTACCTTTGGTGCTATTAGTGTTTCGTTAACTAAAATCTATATATTTTTAGTGACAGATTTATAAATATATTGCTATACTGATATTTATTTTCTTTATGTATGTAACTAGGAAAGGCTGACTGTCTCAGTGCAATTTTTTGTTTCGTTTTTTTTTTTTTCAATTTAAGCCATAAGAAAGTATATTTTTGTGTGTAACCATAGGATCAAATATTTGACGAGAGGAGATAAAAGTTTTAGATCAAACATTTAAAACTGGATATAAATACTGCATTCAAACTGATATAAAACTTTCAGATGTTTTTTTTATTATTATTTTATTTTGTAGATGGCACATTATTTTTGTAATAAAAAAATTTTCACCCCCTTTGAATGTGATTTATACAGTTTGAAATTTAGCTTTTTATTCGAGGTGCAAGCCTGCAGCCTCCAGCTTCAACCACAGATCATGACCTGACCACAAGAACGTTGGCGCTACCTAATCTAAGTTTGTGTGGATGTCTTTTTAGCATGTCACGTGTGTGTATATGTGTGTGTCTTGTGTGTGTTTGTGCACGGTGGAAAACCCCTTCCCAGTGTTGCCTGATTGGGCACGCTGTACTGTGACAGCCAGATTCCCAGCTGTTCTGTGTAGCAGAGGGGAACAGCTAAAGTTACACCAAAACTTCAACACAACAGCCGGAAAAATGAGCTGGTGAATTAAAATGAAGAAGAAGAAAAGAAACTCATCTAGTTACTCGCTGTGAAGTATCATTTTGACACAAACAGCAGCAGAGCAGCTCGATGAATCAGTTGTCATGGGTTTTGTGTTGCAAGCACAGGAAGCTGGACATCCCCTGTTTTAAAAAAAGGAAATAAGCAGTTGCAGAGCGCAGAGAGAYGCAGCCGAACAACAGTATTTTTGTGAGAGTGATCACATATCAACTGATTTCTGATGAGATAATGGCACCAGAAAAAAAATTAAAAACAAAGGTCTTGATAGAGCTATAAATACATAGAAGAGGAAGGTCCCTTTTTTCGGTTCGGCCTTTAATTTTAATTGTGTGTTCAGAATTGAACTTATTGGGGTGTTTTTTTTTTCTTCAGCAAGTTGACTGCAGTGGTTTGAAGTTTAGTTTTGGTGATTTTCTTAAAAATGTTCTAAACGTCAGAAGCAAAACCTCCTGGGTTGTATTTGTTACCATTTATTGCTCACTTGCACTCTGCAGTACAGTCAATCTTAGTTGGCTTTTGACACTTGTAACCGTGAGCATCAACTGGTGGCCCGCAGGCTATTTTCAACCCTTAACCTCATTCCATTTGGCCCACAAAGTTTTAGGTTACATTTAAAGGAAACACAATCCAAATCAATCATCAGCTTACTCAGCAAATCAGAAAAATACAGGAGACCAGGGTTCTAGTCCAGGACTGGGAATACTTATTATTCTGGCAGGAGGGTGGCTAATGGTTAGCACTGCTGCCAAACTAGAAGAAGGTCCTGGGTTCCATCCCCAGTTTTTATCTATGGTCTTTCTGAGTGGAGTTTGCATTAGTTTCCTCCAAGTGCTCCAGTTTCTTCCCACAGACCAACAACATATATGTTTAGGCTGCTTTCAAGGTCTCAGCTGAAATAAAATGATCTCAGTGGGATTTGCCTGAATAAATAAAGGTGAATAAATATAAATATTCTTTCCAGTCTTGGCCTACTGTGGATAAGTTTCCCAGTTGGAGCAGAAGTTGGCTGCAATTTCTTTAATGCTGTTGACCCATGCTTGTGTCTAAAGTTGCTAACCTTAAGTGAAAGTAAAGCAACTCCTGTCTATTATTAATCTACTGCTTTTGGTGCTTTCCTTCAGCCATTGTTGTTGCCGAACTCAAAACTTTAAGGTTTTTTTGTCATTATTATTATCATTGTGTTATCTTCCTTTTTGACATTTTTAAAAATATTTTCAACACAGTGATTCACAGGGAAAAAAACAGAACTTCTCATTAATAAAAGAAGAAGTGGAATATCATATAACACATTTGAAAAATTAACATGGCAAATGTCATCTATTAATGGCAGCAGAAATTTGTAATAAACAAAATGGACCAAGAAATGGCTAATCAAATGTTAGCCCTCACTTTGACCGAGTAAAACATGTTGATGACCCCTGCTTACAACATCAGTGACCGGAAACCATCATGTTTGAGTTACACTGTGACCATGTGGTTTTCAGATGATGTTATTAGCTTTGGGTGTTGAGCTCAAGGCCTTCTCAGCCATTTATCCTCTTTTTATCATTCTATTCAAAACTTTTGGGTGCTTTTGACTGTTCAGTAAAAATGAGATTTTCCCTTCTTGAGGCATATGAATGGTTTGTGGATTTTTTTAGGGGGAGATTTGGATAATGATATGTGTATTTACTAGAGAGCAATCTTCACTTGATTAGATGTTGAGAAGGGGTTTTTCATGGAAAGTTTTTATGTTTTTATCATGTGATCAGCTGCCACTGTTGTCTTTTCTGAATTATCAGGCAAGATGTTTTTTTGTTTGTTTGTTTGTTTGTTTGTTTGTTTGTTTGTTTGTTTGTTTGTTTGTTTGTTTGTTTTTTGTTTGTTTTGTTTTGTTTGTTTTGTTTTTTCTCATTTGGCTCATTCTTATTGTTCCATAGTGCCAAGCTTATGAGTTTGACTCCAAACTATACCAAAGTGTGAGTGAAAGTGTGAATAGTTGTTTGTCTCTATGCCCTTTGATGGACATATGAYCTGTCCAGGGTGTCCCTCACCCCCTCGCGCAGTGACCGCTGGATATGGGTACTTGTGACCCCCATGACCCTGAATGGAAGAAGCAAGTAAAAGATGATGGATGGATGGATGGATGGATGGATGGATGGATGGATGGATGGATGGATGGATGGATGGATGGATGGATGGATGGNGATGGATGGATGGATGGATGGATGGATGGATGGATGGATGGATGGATGGATGGATGGATGGATGGATGGATGGATGATGGATGGATGGATGGATGCAGATTCAGACCACAGCAAACAGTCTTCTCCAGCACATCCTAATGATTCTCAGTGGTTCAGGTCTGGACTTTGTGGTGGTCAATCGTGTTTCATGCACCTTAAACCACACTTTCACAATTTGAACCCAATGAATCCTGGCATTGTCCCTGTTGGAACATGGCCGTGCCATCAGGGAATTAAAAATCCATTGATGGAATTCCTGGTCATTGGTATATTTATGTAGTCAGCTGACTTCATTACATTGCTGAACCTAGACCAGACCAACTCCCCTGCAGGCTTGTATTGTAGGCTCCAGGCATGATGGGTGCATCGCTTCAGCCTCCTCTCCTGGAACAGGGTCAGTCTGGATTCTGGGCTCATCAGACCTCATGACCTTCTTTCATTGCACAGTTCTATTATTGTTTCAGCAGTCTCCTTTGATGTTTCCTCTGACTGATGCCAATCATTTGACTCTTCAGAAGCAGAGGAACATCTTTTCTACGACCATAGTATGTTTCTTTCACCATGGTTGGTTTACACATAAGAAGCTACTCATTGCATTAGTTAGGGTTAGATAACTTGTTGTCAGCTGAAACAATCACACGCAGTAATTGTTCAATGCAAGTCTCCTACTTTTTGCTTAGTTAAATTTAAGTGGTGACCTTTTTGTAAAAATGGTCGCCACAAAATGGTAAATGGACTGAACTTGTATAGCACTTTATCAAGTCCCTCCGGACCCCCAAAGCACTTTACACTTCAATCATTCACCCATTCACACACAAACACATTCATACACTGATGATGGTGCGCTACATTGTGGCCACAGGTGCCATGGGGCACACTGACAGAGGCAGGGCTGCCATGCCCCAGTGCCACCGGACCCTTGCCTACTGATCACCTGATGGTGCTCAAGGACACAACAACTGAGATGACTGGAACAGGGGATCGAACCGGTGACCTTCCAGTTCCAGGACCTTCCAGTTAAGTCAATATTCATTTCTAAAATGTAACGTTAAAATGCTCTTATCATTAACTGTTTTATTTTGTATCATACTCTCTCAGGGCCAAATACAGATTGAAGAAGTTCTGGTTGAACAATAGAGCTAATCAAGCCTATTGTTAAGCGATGGCCCTCTTTTGCATGTGACTAAATTCTTGGACRAGGGACGAAACGTTTCACTAAAGAAGAACCCATCCAGAGGACCTACTTATTTTTTCTTTTTGAGTTTTTCTACCTGGATTACTGAGATGCATCAGGACAAGCTCTGGTTTATTTTGATCATTTCTGGGTGAAAGGAAGTATTTCTAAGGTTTATATCTTACTAGCAGAAGTGGTCCACCCGACTGCCCTCATTTCACCCAGCATGGGGGTTAAATCTCATCTGCAGCATTATGAACTCAGTTATCGGTTAATGTGAAAAAAATGATAACATTTTAGGCTGAAACCGTTTCGAACACCATAACACATTTAGTCCCACCTCACTAACTTTTAGAACAATCACTACCAAAACTTGTCTTTTAAAGGGCAACTTTAGAATCTTGTCTGCATTGGCAAACCACATACAGAGAAGCTGAAATACACACAGACTTTGAAAAGGCCACAGTTTTCTGTTGGGGATTGTCCCCCACCCGCCGCCTGCTCCCACCTACGCATTACAACAGGGTCTAAAAGAGACTCGAGCTTCTCTGCCCACCAATCTCAGAGTGGAAAAAAATAGATCACAAGTCCCCACCTGAGTGTCTGGGAACTTTTCTAAGAAACAGAGTATTAATAAGAAAGGTTACGGTGGTAGATCAGTTCCTGTCAGAAACTGCTTTTCAAAGCGTAAGGATGTACAGATGGCAGCTGTCATGTATTTAGGCAGATAGGGAAAACTTCAGCCTGACACTTATCCAGGCAAACACAGAACAGCTACATACAACCTTTAATCTTCTGTGTGTATCCTAAAAGAATGGGAATTTCCCCCCACTGGGGTGGGAATTCCCACATGACAGACAGGTTTATTTGAAATGGATTTTGCAGACCTAAGCAGATCATTTAATTCAGTGTTTATTGATTGATGTAATCGGCTTTAATTTAAACTGCCTTTTCTTTTCTTTTTCTCCAGGGTTCTTGGTATGGAAGTCAATGTGTTAAACCATAAAAAGGCATCAGTGAGGCAGATTTTAACCAGAAGGGGATTCCCTCTTTAAAGTAGCACATGATCCTGAGGGTACAGTTAACAATGAGAAGACCTACTGATTACAAGCTATAAGGCAGCTCTGATCTCTATAGAAACACTCACCCCACCACTCATTGTTAGACGGCACTGTGGGCACTATTCTGTTTTCCTTTGTCAACGAAGTGAACTTATGGTGACATTTTGGCACAACACGGATTGGAAAATTACTTTTAAAAACCTACCGTACTTTTTTTTAAAACCTGTGAAACTTTTCATAATTTGAGCACTGACTAACAGGGGCTCTCAGCATACGTCAAAAACAAATCTGTTCCATTTTCATGTTTCATTTAGATCACGGCCTACGTTTGTGTTTCATACTTTTTTTTTGGTGGGGGGTGCTTTTGAACAATTGACATTTGCATACGTTTATGGGGCATTTGCCTAAATGTGGTGGATCCGATATTACATCAGCGCTGACTGAGAACAGGCTCACACWGCGAGGAGCCAGACTGTCATTGCTGAAAATCATTTATGACTCCTGTCTGGTCACTCCCACAAACCCCACATTTTGTGTCTGCTTGTTTAAAGCACGTTTAACACAGTGTGCTCATTCACCAGTATGAGCTCAGAGTGAAATCCCACTGGTTTAAGAGTTAGCCACCTTTGGGAAAAGTGAAGAGGAAGCATGGCCAGAACCCTTCCTCACTTCCTCTTCCTCGTTATCCATTCGGCAGTCTATACAACTAATAACTACTTTTAAGTTCAGCTTTTGAACATTTTCTGGAATCAAAAAGCCCCTTGAGGGCCAATCTTTATCTTACCCTCTCTTTTTTTTCTTTTTGTCCAATGGGAAAACAAATTTGTTTCACATTCTCCTAAATTTCTTATGTGGCATGTGGTGGCCACTGAAAATCCTGGAGTGGTACCAAAAGCAAAAAACCAGACCAGAATTTCAGCAGATTTGTTATGTTGTTGCCACACAGGCTATWGGTTATTTGACAAATACAGGATTATGGAAATTAGTGAATCAACTTCTGAAATACAGAAGTGTACTTTAGTTTTTATTTTTATTTTAAATGTGCATCGATATTACTTAATAAGACAAGATAGAACTCGACACCAACCGTCACTGAGAGCATTTATGTCCCCCGCTTTGGCGACAGGGGACATAAAGCATCGCCTTAATCAACTTACTGAAACTTTTTCTCTCCTAAATTTACCTTTATAAGAAACGTATTACTCCTGAGACCTGCATTTTCAGGGTATCAGCAAATAAGCAACTCTGAATTACCTGAGTTTGGGAGAAGCTTTTATTAGTTCTATTAGTTTRTGAGAAAATGGTTAATTTCTGCAGAGCCAATTTTGTATTGAAGTTACAATTCAAGTCTCACAGATTTTATAAATGTTTGTGCACGCACTCTTTTATGAGCATTTACATTGTTAATGTAAGTACATTGGTTTTTTTGTTTTGTTTTGTTTTTTTGCAAGCACAAATGGCAGTGGCAGTCGTTAGCTGTAGCACTTCCTGTTTAGACCAGGGTACTTCCAGCAGAGATATATCTCCACCCAAATAACCGTGCAATGTGGCATTAGCTGCAGTGTAAAAGTTTACAAAATAACATAGAATTCTAATTTTATAGATGGGAATAATTTTAAGACTAAAAGAAATTCACTGCTCAGAGCCATTAGCTAGTCATAAGTGAAATTGACTCTTTCCATGACTTATTTCCACTGAACCCCCATTTTAAAATATCTGAACTGTTGCTTTGAGTTCATGCATCCATGCACTCAAATAATAATAATTATTATCTGCAAACTGAAACTCCAAATCACTTCCTTGGTTTAGTCAAACCGGCTGCGTTTCCAGAATTAGCCGACCATGTCATCCTTTAACTCAATGAAAAAGGGAAGGGTGTGCAGTTTACTTTGGTTTACAAAACAAGAAGTGAGCCTTCCTGTAAATTTAAAACACAAGTAAACAACATTTAAGTCCTTGTGTTACTCAGTAACACAAGGACTTTATCTTGGGGATCGTATAGTTCTGAAATTTCTAGATCAGCCAAAAAAACCCATTTTATGCTCAATTCTAATAGAGGAAATAAATGTAATATGTGTCTGTTGTTGATTTTCTCTGGAGTTAGAAGATAAATGTATATAAT